ACCCCCCCCGCCCCCTCACCCCCCGCCTCCAATTGCTAGCAGCTAAATTAATTCACTTTTCAATCTAGCAAAACACATTTCAGAGTTTTGCTCCCACATTGGTGACCATAAAAGGGCGCATGCATGAATTTCACACCATGTTTGATAGCCAACACTAGGCTGCCATGGATGGAACGACTCAGACAAGATCCCTACATCCCCATGCGGCTGCCCTAACCTCGAGGCAAAGGCCTTTTGTCGAAGGATGTCAACATTGTGTCTCAACGAAGAGAATTCAGGGTCATAACTGAAAATAAATGTGACGCTACATATACATTTTTAAGGCACATATTTAATGATGAACAAACCTTTCGCCCAGGCGCAACTTACTTGGGTTCTGCGGGAAAAGAGTGCAGCTCTTGCAGTGGATGATTTCTTTGAGGACGGCCACCTCCGTTGGTGGCGGGGGTGGCACCAGCCCGAGGCCTGGTATCATCGGGTTAATGGGGGTGATCCCAGTCATCATGTTGAGGCTTGGATCAAAGCCGGGCACACAGATTGAGTCTGTAAAGCATACAAGATAAAATTTTGGCTGGAGGATCTTAAATCTATTATTTTTCTTTAAAGATTATTTGACATGATGCTTTCTTCTCGCCCCACCCCTACCCCAAAACTTCACCTGGCATAAGATGAAGCATTATGGAATGCTCTTCTACAAGGGTAGATGGAAAATCAAGGAACCTAAAATCACTCATAAAGGAAATTACGTAATGTAAGACATTAACACTCCAGAACAGAACGCAGCATCAAGCTCTCAAACTCAGGCCACTGAGTCCATTTCTACTCTTGGCGGCCCTAAAGGACAGGGTAGCACTGCCCCTGTGGGTCTCCGAGGCTGCAGCTCCTTACGGGGGTAAGCCTTGTCTTCCTGCGGTGAGCTGCTAGTGGTTTCAACTGCAGACCTGGAGGTGAGCAGCCAGCCCAAAGTGTAAGCCACTACAGCACCAGGGGCTCCTGTGAACACAGAATAAGGTATAACACCAGGCTGCCTTAGAACGACACCAGAGGACAGAGTGGAACTGCCCCCAGAGAGTTTCCAAGTGGCATACCTGGTTACCGGGGGCTGCTAATTGCAAGGTCGGCAGTTTAGAACTACCAAGCAGTTCCTCGGGAGAAAGATCCTGCTTCTGTACGATTTACAGCCTCGCAAACCCAAAGGGGGCAGTTCTACTCTGTCGTGTGGGATTTCCATGAATCAGAACCCACTTGATGGCAGCGGGCGGGGAATCTTTACAGAAATAGATTGCCACAGCTCTCTTTCTCGGAGTGGGGGTGGGGACAGGTCAGTTTCAACCACTGGCATTTCTTTTAGTAGCTGAGGGCTTAATTACCAGTGCCACCAAGCTTCCTTTGTGTCATTATGGTGAATGCACTTTTCTGTGTCTTCATAGTGGTGTGTTGTTTATACAGCCTTATGACCCAGATGATGGGAAGAATTTCATTTAACTTTGAAGTCCCCTGCGACTCTCAGTGATAAAACTTGGTGTTTATCAAAACAGCCTTTTTAAGTGACCTGGGGCTCAATTTAGATGTATCTACTTTATAATGCGGCCTTCACTCCCACCTAATCTGTTTCCCCCAGGAGGAAGAAAAGCAACAGCAAAGAGTGGTTATAATTACCTACCATGGCTCGGTAATTATAGGTAGCTCTATACATTTCTGAATATTATTGGGTAATCATACTCTCTTCCTATAATCCCATCCACAAATACCCAGGTTGTATCTATCAAAGCACAACTCACACACCTTAGGTGTCAACAAGGATGGCTCTTTTAGCCTACGCTCTGAATCGTTTTGTTGGTGTGGTGATGAAGCAAGTGGCTTCGCAGGTGATGGTAGCACCTGTGTCCTGGTTGCTGCTGTGGATTTGGCTTTCTAAACATACGAGGAGTGGGACTCTTCCTGAAAGCAGTCAGTCTGTGTGGAGTTTTCTAAGGGCTGTTCATAGTCAAGTGCCCTCAACTCGATTGTGATGGACGAGGCACACAGGTGCCAGGGTGGAACTGCCCCATCAAGTTTTCTTGACTGTCATCTGTCTGGGAAGGATGGCTGGGTCTTTCTCCTGCAGAGCTGATGGGGTGTTCGAACCACCAACTTTCTGGTTAGTGACAGAGCTCCAACCAGGCACCATCAGAGCTGTTAAATAATGGCCTACATTCCAAAGGCAGCTCTGTGGGGACCCTTCTCCCTCTAGACAAAGGCAGATCACTGGTGTGGGGCACTGCTCCCTGGTGACAGTAGCACCAATGTCACAAGGAGTTGTCATGGTGTCCTCCCACTTCCCTCCTTTGTTCCCATTCCTCAACCTAGGTGTTCACCCTTCTCCCTTACCTCCCACCCTCCCTTTGGAAATCTGACCTGCAGGCTCTGCCCAAGACTGTGCCTGGCCTCATGAATTACTGACCTGGGCTGGAAGGGCAGATAAGCCCAGAGACAGAAGGAGGGGGGCCCTCACCTTTTATTATTAAGAAACTCCAGAGCATGCTGAAGGCCCACTAAGATATTACCCACCTGGGGATAGATTTATGACATCCCTCCAGCCACCTTAGACATTCTGACTCTACTGGGTCCCTGAGTGGATTGCTGCAGTATTGATTAGAAAATCCATTTAATTTTATAGAGTGTCAGTAGTTATTACTACTCTCCATAAAATGAATGTTTTATATTTTCATTTACAGGAAAAAACAAAACTCTCTCTATGTATTCATAGATACATACAGGAAGGGATAACCCCTAAAATGGAAATTTTTTTTCAAAGCTATGTATTAAATTTTTTTTTTTTTTTACAAAACAACCTTTTCACCTTCAAGTACTCCCAATTACACTTAATGCATTTGTCAAATCTGCAATTCTATTCTTGGAAACATTTTCAAACTCATTTGTTTGAATGACTGACAGCACCACCCTGTGTCTTGCTTCACCTCTTGGATGTTGTCAAATTGCTGTCCTTTCATGCCTCTGCATTAACAGAAACACAAAGGAGTCGCATGGAATAAGGTCAGGTGAGTAAGGTGAGTGGGGCAAGAGAGGCATGTTGGGCTTTTTGGTAAAAAACTGGTACAATGAGATGGTTGTGTGAGCAGGTGTATTGTCGTAGTGGCAAAACCAGTCCCTCACCTGCCACAAACCAGGCCTTTTTTGTGTAACACACTGTTACACGATCTTTTCAGCACTTCTAAATAGAAAGCTTAATTAACAGTCTAACATGGTGGAACAAACTCCAAATGCACTGAGTCGACATTTTTGTCTGTTTGGGAAGTCGACGGTATGTTCAAAACATCAATCGACATTTCACCTTTCTGGAAATAGGAAAACCACTGTACACTTGGGTTTTTCCCAGAGTGCTGTCCTTGTAAGCTGTGTTCAACATCACAACAGTTTCTGCAGCATTTTCCCCGAACAGGAAACAAAATTTCACAGCCGCACGTTGTTCTCTTAAATCGACCATCGACACAAAAATGCACTGTGACCAGAGAGACCCTTCCCACACAATGCCAGAGTGAGCTGCTCAATGCTTGCCTAGTGGGAAAAATGCAAATACTACGAAATCTCTGTTCAGCCAGCACAATTCCGTTTTTTGTGGGGGAGGTACCCCTTTGTGTATCTATATAGTAGTCACGGTGAGACTCTATGAACTTAGCCTATTATTTATTATAGTTCTTAGTTTAGTCCTTTGTAAAATGGCATCTGCTGACAGCCTGGGGCACTAGCATTCCAGTACTCCTGGACTCTGTGCTGATGGTATGCAAAACAACTGCCCAAAACAAAGTGTCATATAAAAGACATGAATGTTTGGAAATGGCAGCGACCAGCCTCCAATTGGGCTACTCATTTTAATCTTCATAACATCCCAGAGGCTTGCTCTCCCCCTGTCCGACAGATCCAGGAACCGGAGAGGAGAGAGTTAAGTGAAAGCGCCCACACTGTAAGGCTAACACCCGGGAGAGTCAGACCTACAACACAGGCTCTGGTCCAATTTAGGCACATCCCTTCCAACATGCCAACGTTTCCACTCTGGATGCTTCCCCTGGTACCTGCCACCACTAAAAATGTACTCCACTGTGAAGGAGGGGGGGGAAAAATCAAGATTTATTCTGCCGCTCTGGATGCCAATTCCGACGGAGAAGTTCCAGAAAAGAATAGCTTTCCATGTTGTCGTCACTGAAATAACATACTGGCTTCCAAGGCGAATATATTAGAAATGGAAGTATTGGCAGTGGGATCATTGGCATGCTTGTGTTTTTATTTAATCTCATTTCGTACAGAGGATTGATTCGTCTGTTTCTTTTCTGGCCCGGCCCTTCCTATTATTTGCCAACTCGGGATGATTTAGGACTGAAGCCGCTCAGGATTGCAAACCCTGAAACGCGAGCCCTGTGAATTATAATAAGCAGCTGTTGTACCTGTATGGGACCAGAGGCCTGGGTCTTGCATTCTCTTTTAGTTATAAAAGACTGGGTGAAGGGAGAGAGTGGATGGTGGAAGATATGAAAATAATAATTTATAATTTATCAAGGGTTCATAAGGGTGGAGGAAGGAGGGAAAAATAAGGAGCAGATACCAAGGGCTCAAGTAGAAAGAAAATGTTTTGAAAATGATGATGGCAACATATGTACCAATAATATGCTTGATACAATTGATATATGAATTGTTATAAGAGACCCCCCAAAATGATTTATATTAAAAACAAACTTTTCTCTCCGAAGGGCAAACAAGCATACAAATACACACATCATTAGAGAAGAGGGTACAAGGCCCTACACTTCAGAGAACAGTTGGCGAATAGATCCCGCAAGAGGACCGCGATGTCAACATGCGGAGACTAGCGTTGAGTGCAACCAGTCTCCTCTTTCCTCTCTTCTCTCTTCTTTCCTCTCCTCTCCTCCCCAAAGGATTCAAGTACGGAAAGTATGGGAGGAACTGACTTTTACATTTTTAATGTACAAGCACGCATTATCTTTTGATAAAAAGAGAACAGATGGGTGTTGTTTCCCCAAGGAGCACAAAGCCTATAGCATACTAACTCGTAGTAGCGGATGTGCAAGCTCTAGGCGTCTGAGGACTGCACATGCCCAGGATGACAAAGGTGGAAGGAGAGCTGCTCTCAGGTGTTCAGGGGTAACGAGTGACAATCCCTCTCTGGGAAACAGGGGAGAATGCTCACACTGCAAAACTTGCTTTAAAACCTGCTCTTAGACACGGGAAGGGCTACTTATTTCCCCTCTAACCCTGCTCTGGACCACCAGCGCCAAGCACATAGCTGGCAGGCCACTGCTCCCGCTGTGCTCCTTTCCCATTGCTGTTCCTGCAAGGAACAAGGCGCGGGTCCTGTCTACCGGCTCATGTTGCTGTTGAGTGCCAGTGGGTCGATTGCAGAGAACCCCCACGGCCCCCCCTGGGGTGTTCTGGGCTGAATCTTTACAGAATCAGGTTCTCCATGCTTTTCTCCCGTGAGGCAGGAACGGAGGGAACTGTATAAAGTTTCCCGAGGGGACCTCACGGCC